CTGCCCACGGGGGGTGGGGGACAATACTGCTCTCTGTCTCTTGTTTTATACGAGGAACTGTACTCTCCCCTATTCACTCTGTTTCATTTTTCCTGCTTGTTGGCCCTTCTCATTCTTTCTTTCATCCTATTTATTTTTGTCTCTCCTTCCTTCCCCTCCTTTATCTATATTTTTTGCTGTTTTGCCCCCCTCGTCTCCCTTCTTACCTTTTATCTCCCCCTCTCTCTCTCTCACTTCCTCTCCTCCTTGAGTGAGGATTCATCTTGGGGGGTTTCCCCAAGAGGGTGTTTTCGAGGGTGGGGAACAGAACCAATTGGGCTAGACTCGGCCCTTTCTTCTCCTCCAACTCCCCTTTCATCTCTGCTACTCCACTTCCAAATTATCCTCCACACCTTTCATCCCTTTTCCGTGTCTTCCTCTTCCTCCAAGTCAATCATCATTACCTCTCATTCCTTTCCACCAGCATCCTTTTCTAAAGGAAAAAATATTTCAAGATGTTACCTGGAACGGCTGCAATTCGCTCGCTCATTGGTCGCTTCTCAAAGGCTGAGGAAGTGACGTCACTCCCTCGAGCCAATCACATGGCGAGGCATTCTTTTAAATGACCAATTACAAGCGACACAGTCATAAATTCGACCAATAGCGAATGTCCTTCATAAGACAGATGAATATTTTGGAATGAAAAGTGTCATTTGGGGCGGAAATTTTGCTCCATGTTATAGGGAGTTTTCCAGAATTGTCAACAATTCAACATTTCTTAAGAAGACTCTTGTTTTGTTAGTTTGTATTATAAACAAACACACACACTAAGAAGACATACACACACACACACACACACACACACACACACACACACAGTTCCAAGTGTAGATATGATAGAGCCCAATAGGCTCAGGAACCTGTACACCTGTTGATTGACGGTTGAAAGGCTGGACCAAAGGCTCAACCCCCGCAAGCACAATTAGGTGAGTACACACACACACACACACACACACACACACACACACACACCACACACACACACACACACACACACGGGGTCTATATATATATATATATATATATATATATATATATATATATATATATATATATATATATATATATATATATATTTGCTTCAATTATAACACAAGAGTGGAGACATATATACTGAACATTAAAAAGGAATATTCCCATCCACTGTGCCCCCATACACACCCCAAACAGTGACAGCAAATTGGTTTCAGTCTCGTGAGGGTACTCTTTGGTAACTCTCTAATCACATTTACCTTAATATAGTTAAACAATTGCTGCTGCACAATCCCCATTGTCATTGTAATGGGGATTGTGAAAATTCTATCATTGTAATGATAATTTTTTTTTTACCAGCAGTAAAAGAGACTGTTATATATTTGGGTTAAAATTTGTAAATAATAATTAGAAATAGGTAAAAGTTAGACACTTTTTTTACTAGACACTAGACATAGGTGGTAATTTTACAGAATATTTTAGAGATCTGTGATGCCAATTTTAGAATTTAGATGCTAATTTGACTGTTGTCAGGAAAATTTGAGGAACATTTGACTCATTTGAGATGCTAATTTTAGGGAACAATTTCAAAGAGTTGTGATTCTAATTTTTGGGTTCATTTTAGACAGTAGCGATGTGAATTTTGGCAGAATTATCTAAAAAAAAATAAAGTTTTGAAAAAATCTACTTTTTTTAAGTTTTTTATTTGCTACAAATCTAATGCAAAGTCAAGAACTTTAACAAATTAATTCATTTTTCAGACAGGATTAAAGTTAAAAAATAAAAATCCTGAAATACAGTAACGAAAGAAATTTATTTTGTTTAAAACAAATCAAGATTGTCTTCAAACAAAATGAGTTAAAGGCAAAAAAAATACATGAAATAGCAATAATTATTTCCGTCGATCTGAAACTCATAATTTTAATGGAAATATTTTTTTTATACTCAAGATTTTAAATTAAAAACTTCTATGCAAACAAAAATGCGTAAAACAATTATTTGTTATTTGTTCTGCTGTTGTAGAGCATTTGTCAGTGGGTGAAGTGCAGCAGATACCTCAGTGCTCTGAATTCGGATTTGTCGAGGATTTAACATTTACATATTCATAAACCACAAATCCGGGTTGAAATTTATCCCCAAGTGCGTTCTCGAGAGTGAACAATGTATAAACTGGGAGATAATATCCAATGCTATGTATAGGAATGTATTCCGGTCCTAATTTTGGTTATTGTTAAGATAAATACACACACACACATACACACACACACATACACACACACACACACACACACACACACACACACACACACACACACATACACACACACACATACACACACACACACACACACACACACACACACACACATTATATATATATATATATATATATATATATATATATATATATATATATATATATATATATATATATATATATATATATATAGGGCTTTCATCTAACATAAAATACATATAATGTTTCATTATACTATACTATGTATAGACTTAAACACTTGTTTCTCTGTCTACGACTCTCTCTCTCTCTCTCTCTCTCTCTCTCTCTCTCTCTCTCTCTCTCTCTCTCTCTCTCTCTCTCTCTCTCTCTCTTCTCTTTCTCTAACTAAGGTTAGTTTTCATTAAGTAAATCATTGAAGTCCCTAGTGAAACTGCAAGCAAAAGCTGTTATCTTACATCAGTTCAACTAAAGGCTGCCCCTAGAGACAGTTTCATCAGACTGTTTCTGTATCCATTAGGAATAAACTGTGTATCAACGCCTTTACATGATGCGTTGATTTGATATCCCGCGTATAAACGTGTTTGACTTAGCAAGTTCCAGTCACGAGTCAGTCTAGGAATGAATGATCGGTGATGGAGTGATGTTCTTGATAAAGTCATTTCCAGCATGAGACTGCTGATGGCGGAGAGCCTCGTGTTATGGGCACCAACTGCTGGTTGTCCACGAAGTTGGGCCAGGTGCGTCACTTTTAAAATATTAGTCTTGTGTTAAACAGTAGGTCCACGACGGTGCTTGAGCCTCTGATGAGTCGGACCAGACATGGTCCGATGAGTCTTTTCATCGGATTCAAAACAAGACTGAGAAAAATGAGTCTTTTCTGGTTAGTTGGTGGTTGTCACCAACGACAACCACCACCACCACTAGCAACCACCATCCTTAACATTCACCAATACTAACCCACCACCACCCACTACCACAGACAACCATCACTACCACCAACTACCATCCCTAACAACCACCATCACGTACCCCAGAGAGAGAGAGAGAGAGAGACAGAGACAGAGACAGAGAGAGAGAGAGAGAGAGAGAGAGAGAGAGAGAGAGAGAGAGAGAGAGAGAGGGAGAGAGAGAGACCCAGTAACAGAGAAGGTAGCAACCTCTACTGTTTCTACACAACGTATACAAAACCCAAGGGAAGCCTAACGGAACCTCCACAACTTCTTGCTGAATGCATTCGAATCCCCCTTCAGACCTCTAACGACGAGACGCTCCTCGCAGTGGCGGCTTCAGTGAGTGATAGATTGTTGAACCTGTACTCTTCGTATTGACCTGCCATCCTAGATATATGTATTTTTTATATACATGCAAGGGAACCTTTTTTTTAATAATAAATATAAATATATTTTTTTTATGATGGCTTTGGAAATATGATAAGGTTTCGTCCGCTGGTAGCGACAGTGGGAAGGTATAGGTAAATGATCTCCCAGAGGGTATAGAATCATTCCTCTCAATGTGCTGAAGATGCTCAAATTATGAGAAGGATTAAGACAGAGGACTGCTTGAGGCTTCAAGAAGATCTGGACAAGCTGCAGGAATGGTCGAACAAGTGGTTGTTAGAGTTTAACCCAAGGAAATGTAATGTAATGAAGTTAGGTGTAGGGAGCAGGAGACCAGATACAAGGTATCGTTTGGGAGATGAAATACTTCAAGAATCTGTGAGAGAGAAAGACCTGGGGGTTGATATCACGCCAGACCTGTCCCCTGAAGCCCACATCAAGAGGATAACATCAGCTGCATATGCCAGTTTGGCCAACATAAGAACGGCCTTTAGAAACTTGTGTAAGGAATCATTCAAAACCTTGTATACCACGTATGTCAGACCAATCCTGGAGTATGCAGCTCCAGCATGGAGTCCATATCTAGTCAAGCATAAGACTAACTTGGAGAAGGATCAAAGGTTTGCCACCAGACTAGTGCACGAACTGAGACATGAACAATGAGAAGAGACTACGGGAATTAAACCTCACGTCGCTGAACGACAGGAGAGTTAGGAAGGACATGATCACCACATACAAGATTCTCAAAGGAATTGATAGGGTAGACAAAGACAGTTATTTAACACAAGGGGGCACACGCACTAGGGAACACAGGTGGAAATTGAGTGCCCAAATGAGCCATATGGATATTAGAAAGAATTTGTTCAGTGTCAGAGTAGTTAATAAATGGAATGAATTAGGCAGTGATGTGGTGGAGGCTGACTCCATACACAGTTTCAAGTGTAGATATGATAGAGCCCAGTAGGCCCAGAAACCTGTACACCAGTTGATTGACAGTTGAGGGGCGGGACCAAGGAGCCGTGACTCAACCCCCGCAAGCACAACTAGGTGAATACACACACACACACACATACATTTACAACACTTCCGTTCAAATACAATCTCACGAATACAGTGTTAACGAATTTGTTGTATTACTCATTTATTCCAAACAGATACAGACACTGACGCAAACTCTGACACAAACAGTAACGCAACACTGACGCAAAGACTTACGCAAATAAGGGATGAGGTTAGAAGGGGTAAGGGGCCCCCGACGAGACGATTGGACCCCTCTCTCACGACAGACACGAAGGCTATTTAGAACCTTTTATCTTAAGCAAAGCCCAAACGACTCGACTTTTATTTCCAGAGTGGATCATGTCCTCGTCTTGATATCGTGTCTGTGTGTGTGTTCTCACAGCGTTGTGTTT